GGCCTAGGTTTAACTCAGTTGTAGGCCTAGCCAGTTCTCGGGCCTAACAACTGGGCCTGGGCCTAGATACTAGTAGTCTAGGCCCTGTCTCTTATACACATCTAGATGTGTATAAGAGACAGGTACGGTGTTTGTTTAGTTCTATTATTATAACACCTATTTCTAATATGTGCTGCACACATTACAGCATATGGCCATAGTGATTTTGGAAGATTTGATTGAATTAATAGGCATCTTCCCATTTCGAATAACGTATGCCATTGGCGTTCGGCAGTGCCATTTTGGTGAGGCGAGTAGGGTGCAGTTGTTTGATGTCTAATTCTATGTTTAGTTAGAAGTGACTTGAATTCCTTTGACAAGAATTCAGTTCCATTATCTGATCTTAAGGTTTTGATATCCCCAAATGGGGCAGAATCAGCTAAAAATTTCTCCATAGCTTTAATAGCATCACTCTTTGCCTTCAGAAAGTATACAAAAACTGTGCCCGAAAAATCGTCTGTAAAGCACATGGCATACCGTACCTAAACCCTTCACTTGATACATTTGCAATTGGGCCTGCTAAATCACTGTGTACCATTTCTAATGGTGATGATGCACGAGCATCAGCTAGCCTATTTCTAGTATTTGTCATTTTACCCAACATACAAATTTCACAATCAATATCTTTACTTACATCACCTTTGATTGTCATTCCTCCAACAACATTTTGCAATTTTACAATGTCATCTTTGTTACAATGTCCAAGTATGTTATGCCATTCATGCATTTCGCGTGCAACATTTACTTTACTAGTGTCAATAATGTTGCAAGTGTTCATATAATAAAGTTGGCCTTCCATCTTGATCTTGAATCGTGTGCCATCCCGGTGAATTAATTCTGCCGATGTTGGACTGAAGTTGACCGTGCTCCATTTTTCGTAGCCGATCTTACAGAGGATATATCTTGGGGGTATGTTGGTACACATAATGCATTTCGCAGAATGGTTTCATACGCAATTCCTTGGTCATCTATTAGGTGTATTTTCGCATCTCCGCGTTTGGTTGCTACATTTGTGCACTTTGTTCCATCAGCTAGTTCCATTGTATGCGATTCTGCTCTGAAGCCTTTTTCAAATTTAATGAATTTGGACTCGTCCGTAATAATGTGCGAAGAGGCACCTGTGTCAACTAGCAAACCGTGTTCGTTAATATCTGTTATGGTTGTTTCGTTTATCTTAAATGAGAATGAATGGTTCTCATCATCATCACTTTTTGTTTCATTTGTGGTTTTCGCGTAGGACTTTTTCCTTCTACATTCGTATGTATTGTGCGTTGAAGTTTTGCATGTTTTGCACCACTTTGAGCTTTGTTTCTTCTTTCTGAAACAGTCTTTGGCTATGTGGCCAGGTTTGTTACATTCGTAGCACACAAGTTGCTTCATTTGATGCAATTGCATGATAGAGTCGTTACTCTTGCCGCTCTTTTCATTTTCCTCAAAGTTCTTTAGAGCAACTCTGAATTCTGATAGTGTTGGCTGCCTTTCCTTCTGTGTTATAACAGTATTAAATGTATTGTATTCGTCTGGCAATCCTTTTAATATCATTGATAGTAAAAGTGAATCACTCACCACTTCTCCGGCTGTCTTCAACGATACTCCAATTGTTTCAGCTCGTATCACGTAATCAGTGGTGTTTTCTCCTCTTTCCATCTTCAATGAACACAATTTTGAATACATAGTTATTATTCTTGGTTTACCTCTGCCTAGGTAGTGTTCTCGAAGGATCTTTAGTGCTTTACGCCCGTCATCTTTTGCATCACGTATCACCAATGAAAGAGATCTATCGTCCAAACATTGGACCAGCTCAGCAAAAGCATTTGCATTTTTGTTTGCATCAGGAGGATTCCCATCTCCTGGATTAATTACTCCATGTAATTTCTGTAACCGCATATAGCCCAT